GTGTGTGTATATATTATGCGCGCTGGTATACACAAATATGTGCTGAGGCTTGTGTTGATATTAAAACATTTGAGTTAGATTTTAATACAAGACATCTATAAATCTAGGTCATTCTGAGTAGCCTGAAGCAGACTAATTGAACTTAAAAATTCCAATTATTATTCAAATAAAAGATATCGCTTTAAAATGGCCACAGCTGAAAACAAAGTGCTGAATAAAGTTAAAAAAATTGAAATAATAATGAAGTTAATAAACAAACAAAAAAACTTTAAAGAAAGATTAAAATATCATCTTTTTTACATAATAAAATATACCATTTGTCCATTCCTATGCACCTTACCCATGACAGAGTTGTTCTTCTGGATTGAAATTGAATTTATTTAATTCGAAAAAAATAAAGAAAAATTTAATTCTAGTGATTTACCAGATTTAACTATTGTAGGCAAATTAAAAGGTCAGTTTTACTTTTTGTCTTAAGAGAAAACTAGAAACACTGAATAAGAAGCTCCCAGTAAACTCATTCAGGGGTACTTCTGCTGTCTCAGCATCTCAGCCACAGTTTCCCACACCTGGCCGAAGCATCCCTCTGCTCAGAATAGAAGCTCACTCTTCAGGGAGGAAATACACGCAAAGAATTTGCTTACTGGCACATTGGTTACGCAGCTGCATTACTATCCATCACCTCAGGCCAAATAAGGGGAATCAGAAGAGTGGTCTGAGATTTTATGCACTTTATATTTAAGTCGATGAGTTCAGATTTCACTGGAATCGGCTCTCAAAGGAAACATGTGGTATCATCTTCTGTGACTATTGTCTTTCCTCCTTATGCTCGTTTTATTTGTGTTGCACACAGCTTTTAAGAAAAAGCTTTAGGCCTGAAGAATGAAATCCTGCTGATTCTGGTCAAGAGCTTCAGGTAATGCTAACACAGAATAGAAGAGTAAGGAACTAAAATGTGATAAATGACTTGAATGCTGGTCACAGAGCTTCTGTCCTCCAACAGGAACGGGTGGAATCTCAATGAAAGGAGGTTTTATAGTGATCAGCGGAGTTTAATTGTAGTTGTCACTGCAACCTCAGCTTAATCTGACGTTGTAGTAACAACTACTTCAGAAAAATTGACCAAAGCTGGAAAAGTCTATACGACAGAGCATTTTAATTTTGTTAACAGTTTAGAATACTTTAGGTTTTTTAACAATAATATAAGCATCTTAGATCAGAACCTACACGTTTTTACTGATGCAAATATTTCATGTTGGAACAAAATCCCTAAAGGGATAGTGTTTAACAAATTAGAATTTTAATAAGCAAAACTCAAGTGTGGCTTTAATAAAAACATGTTCTATGATTGTCTAATAACATCATGTCACAGTTAAAAGTGTCCTAATAGCACAGAAATTGTATTTTACAAATACATAGCCAGTATTTATGTATATCTGGAAAGATATTGGGGGGGGGGGACTTTAAACCCCCCCAGAAATGACTGCAGATCATTTCACCCTCATTGAAGGACCATCTGTACTCTTTATCCAGTGAGAGGCAAACAAAAAGAAAAAAAAAAGGAAATAATAAGAGATAACAGCTTTATCAGGAGGGGACAATTTATGAGAGCGCGGGGCTTCAAAATGGACAGGTGAGGTAATTTAATTAACAGTGAAGTTTATTTCTGCTTTATGGTAGAGAAGGGCAGTGTAGTTCAGCATGTAGTCAGTCCCCCAGTGGAGACGGCCCGTTTATTAGCCTACACTAGATGAGCTCCATTGCAACTGTTATCAACTGCGGTTATTTTTTATAGATGTCAAATCAGTTAAAAGACGTAGGCTTCTTTCAGCTCTGTTTTCAGATGGTTTTTCCATGTGTTTCATTGTTTTTTTAGCTGATTTGACAATGATGATGAAGGTTGACGTGTCCCCTTCCATGCAGAAAGAGCAGAATGTTAGTCTCATTACAAACAAAAGCAGTGCCAAGCTTTTGTTTGTAATTCATATAGTGCACCACTAGATGGGGGTAAAACTTCCAAACTGTCACTTTAAAATCTTTAATCTGCTATAAGCAAACGTTTTTATAACCACCGTAATCAACTTGATCAGAAACCAATCTAGAGCGACAACTCTGAAAGTTTGGACTGTCTATCAGACATCTCCCCACCTTACCACATATGCTGGCGTATCCAACATGGTTTTAATGTGGTCTAATCATGAAATACTGCACATTTGATCAGTATGTAAAGGTCCCTGGTTTTTATGATGTGTCCCCTTTCAGTATATTTAACCGTAGTTTGGTTTAAAGAAAGAATTTTAGTTTTATTAGAATTTAGTTTGTTGCAAGGATTTTACAGTTTGAAGAGATAGAAAATGACACCATATGCCAACCGTCACAAGGATGTGCAAGACAAGGAAGGGCTATATATACTGCATGCATCATTTAGGGAGTTAACATTGTATTAATTCTTGAACTCATTAAGTTATTTACTGTCACATTTAGGTGCTTCGGACGGAAAGTAAGTGTTGGGGCTGGTATGATTTAAGGAGGGCTGGTCCTCGCACGCTGAAAGTAGGACTGGCCCACCGGGCAAATGCTGAGTATCACAGATTACCAGTCCGAGCTTGACTGGTACTCACCTCCCTCATACTGTATGATAACATAATCATCTAGGGATGAAAGATCCATGCTCTTTACACAATATATTTTGATGATCTAAATATAATCAGCTACTAATGAAAATCTGCTGGGCTGGAGCAGGGAAACTTCTAAAACCTGCAGGACAACTGTTTTAAAGGACCGACTTTGGGCATGAAAGGGTCAGATTTAAGAAAGATTACCCTTAACTAGAGAGAGGGCCTGCCAAACAAAGGTTGGTTTGTTATATATGATAATCTGAACTGTTGAATACTGAAAAACCATTGGTTATGTTGCACCTACAGTCTGAACCGGTGCTCTGTTTCCTCATTCCCTGTCAGCAGTGTGACTTCCACCTCTGCACGCTTATCCAACGGGGAAACTTCCAGCCTCAGCAGGATATGATGAGCTAAAAGAGAAACATTTCATGATACAGAAGACCAACTCATCGTCATTTGATCTCATTAAAAAAAAGCTCCTAATTGTTAAAACTGGTCGGAAACTTTCGGGAAGTGGGAACTTTATCCCATCTCTTACCACAAAACGGTGATGAAGACGTCGTGAGGAGGAAGACTTTCTGCTTTTCTGGAATGGGTGATGTGGCAATCCCGCTATTTTCTTTTAAACCTAAAACACACAGCTTTCATTATGGTTGAAAAAAAACATCCTAAATCAGAGAAAGCTGAGACAAGGTGCCAATGAAAGCAACCGTGTGATGAGATCAGACCCATACCTGCTAGTGTTGTAGGAGATATTAAGTTATTTTATTAATGTGTTGCTCTTGCTGTTACCCTACAGCCACAAGAGTCATTGTTTCAAAAGAAAAGTTATAAAAACAGACCAACACTAAGTGCACAAGTCTTTTAAAAGTCTGAAACAAGACCTTGTGATGTTAGAACACCACAAGATTTTTTTTTCCAACAAATTTTCTATTTGCTCGCCAAGTTCCTGCAGTCTAAAAGCTACAGTCTACTAAACTTTATGTGTCTCAAGAACAGAATATAGAGATTCATGAAAAGAGCACCCCAAGCCAAGCAGCTGCATCCAAGCCTTACATCACCTAATGCAAGACAGAGTCTAGGATGGAGTGTGGTAAAACACACTGTCATTAAACTTTAGTGCAGTGGAGACGAGCTCTCTGGAGGAACAAATCATAACTCTCTGTCTGGTGATCCAATTGACACATCTGTGCTCAGGTTCTGAAGAATGATTGTAGTGGGAATCCAAATGAAGGGGGGATTGTAATATATGCAGCTAACAAAGTCGTTACCATTGAGGAAATCAAGCCATATTCTGACATGTGTTGCTCGTTTAACCTGTTGACAGGCCACACCAAAATCACCAAAAACGATTTTCTTTTTTAAAAGCCTGAAAAACGATAAATTATATCCGCTGCTGTTCCTTAACCCTAGGAAGGCTCAAGCCTGCCATATGAAACTGTTATGATGGTGGACAGTAGCCTTGTTGTAACAGCATGAGGCTGCAAACTTGGAGACTACTTTTTATACTTTATATGAGGATGGACATCAATACAGAGTCTTTTATTATTAACGTTCTGCCTTTCTCTTTGATGTGACCTGCACATCATATTGCTAAGATATCACCAACATCTAAATGAAATGCTCGGTATTCACAACATCTACAACTAAAAGTTTAGACTTTATTCTTATGTGAGCATTCCCCCAATAGCAGCAACATGCACATTTTACTATCATCTACAATGTGACACTACAACAAAAATAACTTGTGCAATGTATATTGTGAAATTTAGTATTTGATACCGTGCAATAACCTGTTTCTCTATATTTGACAACAGCTATATATATATAAATAAATATCAATCTATATAAATACCCATGTAAACACCTTGTGCAATAACCCCTGTGTAATAATATAAAATAAAAAAAATGCTGTCATAGGTGGACACACCATATATAATGTATATATCTCATGCAACTTTTTCTCTCTTTGGCACATTCTTCTTCGTTGACTGTTTGAGCAGATGTAACATGCAAAATTCTCCACTGTGAATCAGTAAAGTCAATCAATCAATCAATCAATCAATCAATCAATCAATCAATCAATCAATCAATCAATCAATCAATCAATCAATCAATCAAAAGATGATATCAGATATCTGGTTTCTTGAAAAGGTTTTGAGTTTTTAGAAAAAAAGTTGGCAGTTCTCAGGTCTTAGGAAAAATCCCATCCATTGTCAGGTCTTGTGAATAAACGTGTCAGATCTTAGGTCTCAGGAAACGATGGAGCTTTAGCGAAATCTTGACCAGCCTAGCAGATATCGGAGTTAAACAAAGCTCTATTCTTGCCTAAAACTGTTTTCAAAGTTTTATTTTTGGGCACAGAAAGCAAAATGTATTAACTTTTAATCACAAAGCCATTGTTGTCCAAGCTTCACCAATTTGCTTTGACCTTCAATGAATCATGTATTACTAGGACCTGAGAACAGACAGAACGGAACATTGTTTTTTGACACCTGACAACCTGACAACTTTTTTCCTGAGACCTGACAACATTTGTCCAGGGACCTAAAAACTCTTTCAAATACCTGGGAACTACTTTCTGAGGCCTTTTATTTATTTATTTTTTCCTAAGAGCTGACAACTTTCCTTCCCTCAGAGCTGATATTTCATCTGACACTTCCCGCCTTTTTTCCTAAGACATGGCAACTTTCCTTCCTAAGTCAGAAAACTTTCCCTTCTGAGACCGGAGAGTATCGTTGTAAAAAAAATGACAGTTTCTTGAAACCTGAGACCTAATAACGTATTTCCTGAGACCTAAGTATCCCCAAAACTGTACATAGTAGACATCGGTGCTTGGAGTTCCTTTCTTCTCTGGTTTTACACAAACTAATCAGGTACATCCTTTACACCATCTATGATCAAAAATCTGATTCGGTACATGAACCAGTTTTGATGATAAATCAATCACATCCGTCTGTTCGCTAAAATCAAATGTCATGGAGGAAGGAGTTAAGAAACCTTTTACAGCACCTGTAGGTTGATAGTAGTCGGTTAATTAATTGCAACATCATCAAGATGTATACACAATAAACCAGATAGATTTCTGCATCATTTTCCATTTTATTTCAATAGAGGCTAAGACCGAGGTATCGTGCTGAGCAGTCCTTACCTATCACTGGACATCTTCCCTTGAAGACCCCACAGTCCAAGCAGCTACCCTGCAGGAAGTCCTCATATGAGGAGCATGGGATCCCCATCAACGGGCACGTGCCATTTAGCGCGCTCATGTAGACATGCAGCGCCCTCATGTGGTCACAAATCACATAGCCGTACACTGGAAATAACAGAAACACTGACAACACATAGAAGCCATATTGCTACAGAACCCAAGATCAAAATGAGACGTAAAAAGAAATCTATCCAGGTAGGTATACATTTTACTATTAAAACATGTTTAATTAAGATATAGCAAAATGTGAAAAAGGTACTTTTTTAAATTTCAAAAACCTACTTGAGGCAAATCTGGATCGAACACATCCAGCCTGGTCCATCCCTCCATTTAGGAAGAAGTCCACATGACCTACAGGAATAGAGATGCCAAAGTCTGGCAATAAAAAGAGAAAAAAGTTGCTTTTTGTTGGGAGAAAGCAAAGACTGAAATAGATACTGACAGAATGTAACACTTTCCATGTCTTTCATCCAAAAGAATTCTAAAAAAAAAAAAAAAAAAAAAAAAAAAAAAAACAGAAATCACCATGGCTTCCAATAAAGAGCCAAGGTAATAAATGAAACTAAATTATGCCATGTGGAGTTAAATGTTGAAAGAATCAAATGGGTTTGCTTGATTCTTGAAAACATACTTTGTCTCTTAAGATGGACACAAATACAGATATTCAATAACTCTAACATTAAAATTCTTGAATATAACCGTAAACTAATCTGCATGGCAGCAAGTAAAGGTTGACTTACAATCAGAGTCTGTGTGTATGGCCTCCACGAATAGAGCATCAGTGGGGTCTAACCGGTCAAAAACGTCAGCATCTTTAAACATGGGACCAGCAGGGTCAAGTCCTGCAAGACAGGATGGAAAACCGTCAGAAAAGCAAGGGTTTTTTGCTGTGGATGGTTAATGTTTTTAGAATTTTTTATTTGAAAGATTGAAAGCTTTAGATACAAGTGAGGTCATTTCCAAAAGAATTCAGCCGGGACCTGAACGTCAAAGAACTTATTTCGTTAATGTAAAAGTTCGAATATCTCCTTGAACCCCAGTCGGCCTCGGCAGATGGCCGCTAATTAGGGCTGGGCGATAACTCAATAACCATATATATCGATCGATAGACGTGTGGCGCAATAGAAAAAAAGAGCGTCGATAAAAGTTTGATAAAGAAGCGCAATTTTCCTTCCTTTTCATTGTAGCCTATCATGTAGGTTGATGCTAGTCACTACTTCCTCCCAACCAATCGCAATCGCAGACCAAGGTACGCCATCACAAAGGGCCGCCCTCTCAAAACAACAACACAGAGCACATGAAGATGTCTCAGCAAGTTTTTGTAATTCGCCAGTTTGGCAGTATTTCGGTTATGGCAAGTCGGACAAAAAACAAACCACAGTCATCTGTAAAATTTGTAGGGAACCAGTGAAAACGAAGTCTGCTAACACAACCAACTTGTTTTATCATCTCAGCAGCTCACACCCGCAGGAGTACGAGCTGTGTAGGCCCCGGCGCGGCCCTGCATCGTCCTCCGAGGGCGTATAGGGTATTCTATTTATTTATTTGTTATATTTATTTTGGTCACTTTAGTTAATTCTTTGTCAGTATTTAATTACATAACTCAGGTCTCTTAAGTGATTTTTCTTTACAACAATTTTGGTTAAAAAAGCCCGGGTAACAAGAGTGGCTCCGTAAAAAGAATTTCAAGGTTCTGGAGCAGCCTAGCCAGTCTCCAGATCTCAACCCCATAGAAAATGTGTGGAGGGTGTTGAAAGTCTGTTTTGCCCAGCAACAGCCCCGAAACATCACTGCTCTAGAGGAGATCTGCATGGAATATCGACATGATCAGCCAAAATACCAGTTACAGTGTGTGCAAACCTGGTTAGACTTACAGCAAATGTTTGATATCTGTCATTGCCAACAAAGGTTATGACACAAAGTATTGAGATGAACTTTACTTATTGACTAAATACTTATTTTCCACCATAATTTACAAATAAATTATTTAAAAATCCTACAATGTGATTTCCTTTGATTTTGTCTCTAATTAAAGATTACCTATTATGAAACTTACAGACCTCTCTCAATATTCTGAGTAGGAGAACTTGCACCATCAGTGGCTGACTAAATACTCTTTGGCCCCACTGTATGCATTATGCATTTGCATATGCATCCCTTGGCCACCCAAAGCTCCTGCTTTATTGAACACCAACTGTCATATTGTGTTTTGAGTGCTACCTTTTGTCTTATCCCTCTTGACATTTCGCACACTTGATTGCCAACTATTTCTGTCTTTTCTGCTGTGGAGATGCTGACTTGATCAGCTCCATTAATTCCTTGTTAAGTTATTGCAAAATATCATTCTTCTGGCGATGTTGTCTTGTTGAAGTAGATTTACAAAGCAGTTAAGTTTCCTAAGAAATGTATCAAAATCAAAGTTAAAAACACAGAGCTCAAATACAGTAAGCTAACAGGGTGCCATCATTTTGATGGAAATCATTTGTAAGCAAACTTATCTACTGACTTAGAAATTTGTATTCATAGCTTGTGACTTGGCCACTTAAAATTTTATGACAATGTCACTTCCTTTCAATCAGACAGTGGATTAACTTTTTTGAAGGACCAAAGTTTGTCAGGCCTCCTAAACATACAACATAGAAAGGACATACAGAAACAGTGGTGCATTGTGCAGATCATCTCTTGTAAAATAGTTTTTAGGCTCTGGTATCTCCTAAAGAGTTCTTCACTGTCTGAATGTTAAAGCAGCGGCTTTGAACAGTTCTCTATCAGTTGGAACAAAATAGAACTGAACAAGGCATGGAGCTGTACCAGAAATGATTTTAGCTCATTAGAGTTTCCATGGTGCAGAGTCACCTGTGATTCTTCCGATCCTTCCCTCGAACAGAGTTCCCACAAAGCCGGCTACATGTGCTCCAAGACTGATCCCAATGAAGTGGAAGGATTCCAGTTTGCAGCCATGCTTCTGTTGAAGACAGGAATGTTATTGCCAAGTTTTTTTTTTTCTGTATGCCTCAGCTGCTTGTTTTATAAGAAATTAAAGGTGAAAAACATTTAAAATGCAGTAGGTGCTTTGCAGAATTTCAAAGAAAACAACATTTACAACATTAAACTTCTCCCTTTTCTTCTTTTAGTTTGACTTTTGATGGTTTAACAACACCTTTGAGATTTGCAGGGATATCTTAAAACAATAAAGCATAGAAATACATTGTTACTGGGTAAATGGTAAACACAGAACCTTCCCCTTAATCTGCTTTTTGTGGATGACGTGGTTCTGCTGGCTCCCTCCTGTCAAGACCTAAAGCATGAACTAGGATGTTAACACTGAGTACAACCGGCTGGAATAAAGATTAGCTCCTCTAAGTCTTGAGGCAGGTTTATACTCAGAAACCAGGTCGTCTGTGTGTGCCGCAATTAACGCAGATACTCTCCCGCCCCTTCCGCAGACACTCTTGTGCACCTCCCCAAAAATTTAGGTGACCGTGCCCCATTCAGGAGGCCTCTGATTGGTCAAATCTACATCCGCTCTACACTATGCATATTTCCTGTTTGGTACCTTACTGGCTTGTTTTGTTTGTATGACCACCATTGTGGAAAACGACTTGTGAATTTGGACCACCTAGGAGAGTGAGGTGCCCGAGAATGCTGGGACCCTTTTTCCACCTGGATCCATGCTCTTTTTCACCCTCATATCCCTCTGTTGTCGTACAAACTTTTCCCTTGCGTTTTTCCACTTCCTCGGCCGTATCTAAACCCACAGCTAGTTTGTGATTGTCCCTCTTGCGTTGTGGCGTGGGATAACATAACATAGACCACAGCAGTGTATCGCAGTGAGCTTGTCGCAGATATGACACAGACATTTTTGATTTATGCTCATTTGGAAGAGGTGCTTCAGAGTGTCTGTGGATGGGGCGGGGACGTCTCTGCGTTCACCATGACACCCACGCAGACAACCTAGTTTCAAAGTATAAATCTGTGCATCATACCTGCAACAAGCTCATTGCGACACACTGCTGCAGGAGTATAACCAGCCCTTTAAGTCATGGTATTTAACTTTTTTCTTTTTAGGTCAGTAGATGAGTTAAACTATCTTGGGGTGCCGTTTTTGAGTAAAGGGAGAATGGAGGGGAGGAAGGACAGATTAGTGCAGCTGCCGGTGAAGAAGAAGCTAAGTAAAAAGTAAAAGCTTTCGATTTACCAGCTGGTTTACGATTTACCAGCTGGTTTACATAGTCCCTCCATGCTGGAGGGACTATGTCTCTCTGCTAGCCCTCACTAGAGAAGAGGAGGTGTCTGAATTTAAAGAAACTTAGGGAGAACAGCAAGGACATGTTTCGATCAGTCCATGGAAATGGGAAGATAAGGAGGAATTAATTTTCCTCTGCTGTACCTTTTTTGCTCTCTCTGCATTCTGTTACACCTTTGCTCGAACCATACTCTTGTTTTAGTTCTTTTGTGCTACTAAACCAATAGATTCTCTTTAAACTGCTGTACCTCTGTAAATGTAGGTGTTTACATCATAATTTTTTCCCTTCTTGTGTATGAAAATTTTGTATCAGAGGAAGCAAAGTGTTCTTACCTAACGAGCTGCATTCCTTTTGGTCATTTAGCAGGCACCAATCGCCAATCTCAGTGTACTTTTGGTGTCAGTCTCAAGTTTTGTCTCCTATCCTCTAAAAACAATATCATTTGCATACCTTCCATGTTTTCCATCAAGGTGATGGCAGCTTTGAGGATAATTCTTTTGCAGGGAAAAGAGATGAAGCTCAATACCAGTAAATCTAAGAAGGAAGGTTACTTCACGTATAAATCCTCAGAAATGCTGTTCAGAGATATGCTTTACCCAGTTCCACAAAACCTTAAGTCACATAGTCACATCATTTGACATCTTTAAAACGTATTACCAGTAACTCACACAGTTTGTACACAATGTTTTTTGACAAAAATTGTGGCAAGATATTTGTTATTTTTGTCTTTCAAGCCTTTCCATGTATATTAACCAATAGGAACATCATGTGATTAGGACTACATCACTGTGCATGTATACAGTTGGTCAAAAGCTCCAAAAGCTCAAACAATGGAGGTTAATCTGTGTTAAACTCCCAGTGTGGGTCAGAAAACAAGTACAAGATCAAGTGGCATTACAGCACAGTCGGCACAGTCAAGACTTATTTATTAGCTGTGTCAAAGGTCACCAATCCACTGAATATTATCCTCTCCATTGTCGCTACAAGCATGCATAATGTGAGAGATTACATTTGAGTCAACGAGTCGATGCAATCAACTGGTTTTCCTTAGATAGAAAACTTTGAATCAATTTGACTGGATGATCTGGTGAATTTCACATGCCTTGAGATGACGTGTTGTGAATTGGCGCTATATAACTAACTGAATTGAATATTAGTTAATTTCTTCTACCAGCAGGTTGCGCCACATCTGTTATGTCAGCTCATCGCACCAAGTGATGTGATTCTGTTTAAGCTCAAAAAAAGGACTATCAAAACACTTTCAGGACGGACACTTTGAATATAGCCTTAATTTATTGTAATCATGTGGATATTCTTTTTGGTACAGGCATATAACATAACTACCTGAACCTTAGGCTGTTTTGTAAAGAAGAAATAATAGAATATTCATAGAAATAATAGAATATTAATGTCCTTATCAAAACACTTTCAGGACGGACACTTTGAATATAGCCTTAATTTATTGTAATCATGTGGATATTCTTTTTGGTACAGGCATATAACATAACTACCTGAACCTTAGACTGTTTTGTAAAGAAGAAATAATAGAATATTAATGCCCTGAAATTCTACTCCTGACATGGAGTAGAAATAAGCAAAAGAACATTGTGAACTGGATGTGTTGTTATACCGATTCTTGCTACAAATACAGCATAGTTTTTATATGACCCTGTAAGCAGAGAAGCACGTCTGGAACCTAAGCTTAACTACAGCAGCGTACCCTACACTATGCAATATGGGGGAAAAGGAAAAGGAAGAGAGCAGATGCTATGTTGTTTACTTAAACTGCATTTTTACCTACCATCAAGTTTCTTTATGAGTGTTTTGGCTCACTGAGAAGGTCAAAGTGATGTCAGGGGCAGAACAAGTGCATGAAAATAAGAGGAAAAAGTTTTCTCTACATTTTCATACAGTGGAAGCCACACTCTTCGAGGATCCAGATGATTTTAAATTGTGAGAAGCATAAAAAACGGCATATGAAAACGTAGCAGTCAAACCTGGTTGGAATTATTTCCTATGTAAAATACTCTTTAAAACACTTTCTGAAACAGATTTACAATTGTCTCCCATGCTGGCCTCATTCCTTTTTCATTGATCTGGCACCAACATCTGGAATAAAATATAGTTTCTCTGACCTGTAGCTGGTTGATGAGAACAGAAATCTGCAAAGCCACCTCCTTGTAATTCTGCACCACCAGGTTGTATGCGAAAGAAGCGCCATAAATCCAGTCCACCACCACAACATTCGCATCCTGAGCCCTGAGCAGGGCCTGGGCCAAATCCGTCACCCAGGATGGCTTCCTTCCCAGGGCCCTGCAAGGATGGAGGTCCGGTGGGTTCAGAGTAAAAAAAACAAGCATTATATTTTGAATGTGTGCTTAGCCATTCCTGTGGGTCAACCATGGAAACAGAAACATGTAGTTTTAGATTTGGTATTGAGAACGTGACATTTTGTTCATAATCTGAGTTTTTCCACTATTGGTTTGAGAACTTTAGTTTTTTTTTTTAGCTGGAGCTCAGAGTTAAGTTCTTAAAGATGAGCAGTCTGCCTCTTTGGCTGAACACTGTATTTGAGGAACACAGCTTTGATTGTTTGCTACCCATTCAAAGAATCATCCCGTCTTTATTGGGAACCAAAATGTTGGTTTACTTATATTGCTTCCAAACGTTATGCTTTTAATTACCATCTTTTTATTTTTTTATTTCAGCTAAAATAAAGGCTTGGGCATTTTTGAGGCCCTAGGCAAATTTAGATTTTGGGGCCCTTGCTTTCTTCCCACACTATCTATTGCTGCAATCAACAGTCTGATAGTTCACACACCTACAATAAAGCCATGGTGGTGCGGTTTACAATCCTCTAATTGCATGCAAAAACTGACCAAAAAATAAGTAACCATGTCTCAAAATCAATGTATTTACCCTTAAATTAGGGAGGAAAATAAGATGATTTGCCAATTGAAGGAGTATTCTTACCCTTTTAATAAGATAATTACATATTATGCACTTGAAATAAGATAATGCTTTATCTTATTATTATTTCTTCCATTGATATTTGTTTTACTTACCCTTCTGAATAAGGGTAAATACTACTATTTCAAAAACATTTGAATTATTTTTTGCAGTGCAAAAAGTGATAAAATAAAACTGTGTCGTGTGGGTCCTACTTTTTGGTTTCAATTGCAACAACAATGCAAAAAAACCCCAAAAACCCTGTAGTGCAAGATAAAAAAACAAACAAAATAGTTCTAACAATATATACATATATATATATATAAAAAAAAAAAAAAAAAAACTAGACATCATTGATTGAAATAAATTATAAAAAGTCAGATCTTTCTCTCAACTGTGTATCAGTCTAATGTATAAATAATGATTTCTACAAGGTTTAAGGTATTTTGACGTGAAAATGCATAGTTTTATGTTACTTTATTTGTAAAGATATCATTATACATGATATCTATACAGATAAATGCTTCCCCCCATATATCTAAGTAACTCAAGCAGTTGCTTATTTTGCTTGTTGTTGGGCCGGCCATGTAGGAAACATTTGGACCATCCAGGACCTTTGACTCACCTGTATCCGTGGACGATAACTTTAGTTGGACGGGAGGTGTTAAAGTAAGACGTTGTATTGCCAACATAGTCCTGATCAAACCTTTGTGCACAGTCTGGATTTTTCCTGGTCAGCAGCAGATATTGGACCTCCAGTTTGCCCATATTCTGTCGGTACTCATGCCATCTGGTGTTGTTGATCTCAGCACACTGAACATCATCCAGCTTCTCACCTGCAGCTTTGTGTGCAAATATAAAAAGATGAATGAGTTAGTCATGCAGCTACAGACACTTTATATGTTTTCTTTTAATAACATTTCTAGAAAGAAAGCTTTAAAAACGGCACACATGCCCGGGGCCCGACCTGAGGGCAGGAAGCCTTCAAATTTCACAGAACAGGCTGAAAAATATGCAGTTTGCATAAGAGAGCAGTTTCAAGTGTAAACTTGAAACTGCTTTTTGGACTTTTCATACGGCACCCCATTAAACTGCTATCAAAGTTTTGAGGTTACGTTTTTGTCTTTTATTTCGGATGAAACAGATCCAATTGTGCACAGCTCTGCTTTGGCCGGAGATTCCCTCCCATTCATACAAAATAAATATGTTATTAAGTTTATCTAGAACCTTTAATAAAAAAAAAAATATATATACTGTTAGCTCAGCAGTTCACTTTAGAAACAAGCTTTAGAGCAGAGTCCAAAAGCAATCAAACAGGGCAAACATAAAACTCAAGATAGTCATTCCCTCCAAATCGGTTGACAGTGAACTTAACTGAGACAATTAATTTAAGCTTAAACTCTATTTTTCTAAACATAATAACTTTTTATTTAATTAGATGCGTCTCTGAATGAAACAATTATGTGATAAGCAGGATTTTGCTGAACTGGACTGCATATTGAGGACACAACTAATCCAGTTCAGACGCGTTATATCAGAGCCACTAATCATTATGGGGTGAAAGGGCCTTGAGGACAATACTCAGGCACCCCTGCTTCAGAAAATTAAATTAATGAAAAAACAGAGAGGCAAAATTAAAGGGGTCTGTAAATAAAAAAATGAAAAATGGAAATGACTCTAAAGGAATTAAAATTCATAAAACCCATCAGTAAAGTCTCATCCTTGATCGGGGGCGGCATGCTACAGGGTCATAGAATGATTCTATAGGGTATTTGGGCACCCTCTAGAGGCGTGGCTGAGTTTTGGATCTATTTCATGTGTTTACATCACTAATCTCTGTTTATTCACGGGATTGCTGATAGCCCGAAGAAAGTGAAGCCACCGGCCGCCATGTTGGTACTCCCCTCTCCCACAGAGTTGCCCTATAAAAATGCCTACCTTGCATTTTGCTGCAAAAATAAGCAGTTTGCCGGCTGTGGGAAGACGTTACACATGTAATTTCACAGTCAGTTGATGTAGTAACCAAGAAAACCCATATATACGCCGATGTATCCCATAGTATAGTATGCAGTGTAATGTTAGTCTGTCTATCTTGGACTGACTCCAAGATATTGATTGAGTTAGTCATTGACATTGTGTCTAATGTTTAACGTACAAGTGGAGTAAATAAAAAGTAATTCACTGTGAAATGTCAATGTAGTAATTCTTTAAGTGGATGACACTATCATTTTTGTTGTGTTTCTCCTTTGAAAAAGTCATCTGCTGAAATATATTGCATGCTATATTGAAGAAAGAAAAAGAAACTCAAACATTTTTAAAGGTTAACGCACAGACAGAGTATACAAGTTTATAACATCATGCATGAATTATTTGCAAATAGGAAAATACTATATCATTAAGAGACATCTACATGTAATTCAGTCTGAATGTGAAATCTTGAAAATATCTGTAATATATAATCACCAAAACAATGTCATCACTAAATTTATATTACATGTTCAGCCTCATGTACATCATTTAGCACTTTTGGCACATCTGCATTATTGTGCTCCAATAACACATTGATTTTGTTGTGAGGTATATGTATAATATATCATATTAAATTATTTATTAAATGATTTATGAAATGATTAATTGACTTTAAAATGAATATGAAATGTGATGGGCCTATTTTTTAAATTATAGGTTAAATGAATCTACTTATGCTTTGAAACAGCAAGTGTGTGTCAAAGTGACGCATTTATCTTTATTTTAATAGACTTAAGGCCCGCTGAAAATGAGAAAATCATCTTTGTTCGACACTGTAGCGCACATATTGTTTGCATTGCGACCTTTCTAACTAGGGAGTACCAATATGGCGGCCGGTGGCTTCACTTCAATCCCGTACTAACAGGCAATCAGCAATCCAGTGACTAAATAGAGATCAGTGGTTTACATCTGATGCTGCCATGTTTGTTTCAGAGTTATCATGTAACCAAACATATTCACATGCAAATTTAATTGCATTGGTTATTTAATGGATTTACAACAAAAGTAGCAGAATATCAACAGTTTTGTGAACATTTGTTATTGAAAAGCAACTTTTATGTGTTTAGGAAAATTCAACCAACTTCTTTTCAGTTCTTTGTAATTCATCTTTGCTAGTACCATGTGTGTATTGTAAGCAGATTCAGCTGTGTCCCTCAGTGTATGAAGGGAGGTTGAAATTGGAAAAGAATATAGAACTCAACATGACAAAAAAAAACATAAAAATATATTTCACTTTCTCTTCCCATGGCTGGAGATTAGACTGGTCTGTTTACGTAAGAGGCAGACTGAGTGGTTTCTAAGACATTTCTAAGTGTCTGAGCTCAGGAAACTCATTCCTTTTCCCTCATTTTAATCTGACAGACAATCAAAGAAACATCCCAAAAATGCCTCATTGAGGAAAAATGACTTACCCAGCGTTTGTGGTGAACTGTAGACCAGCAGAATGCTGAGGAGAATGGCTTTGTCCTCCCAAAGCATTTCTGTGATTGAACGGTGAATCAGGCTGCTGGCTGCCAGAGAGCTTTACTTACAGCTTAACAAGCCTCAGCTGCTCTGTTTGTGCTCTGCAGGACGATGGAAGAGGGAGGAAATCTCAGCTCTGAAGCTCTGGAACAAAACTCCGGCTTAAACTGAGGGTCAGCAGGTATGAAGCAAGACCAGAAAGCTCTGAATGCGCTGAGAAGGATATGTTTCTTTACTCCTAAGAAAACCAATCCCGTTGAAGCCTTCATGCATCCATAACAACCTCCTGTCTCTGCTTTTCCCTTTACTCCACTCACAGTCATCATATTTAATGGTGGGTGGTTAGTTTTTTTTATGTTTTTGTTTTTTTCTCCCTGTCTGTGTTTTTTGTAGTGAGGCAACGACTGGTTGGAGGTCCTCGCCTGGTGGTGAATCCATGACCTCATTTGTGTTCAATGGCTGTTTGTTTAAAATGTTGGACTATGGCCTAGCTGCCCACTGCTCTGTGTGGTTTCTGTGCTTTGGGAGAGGAGAGAAGCAGGGTCAGAGAAGGTGAACTGAGGTCAGAGAGAAAGCAAAAAGAAAGGTTGATCATTTTATTCGTCTTTCAGTGGATGCTGTGTTACATAATTAATACTGTTTGTTCAAACTGAATCAAATGCACATGCATGCCCCCCCCCTCACACACACACTCTGAGACAATCCCCTAGAAAGAGGTCAAGGGTCTGTGCTGCAGCTGCTGGTTCTGTTGTGTAGAGCTGGTTCAGAGCTCAATAGTAACCAAGACTCTAGTGGTGAAAAGAAGAAATATGCCGTAACAGCTAATCTCTCTTTCACAGCAGGTTTGTGAAAGGGACATTTACTGGAAAGGGGGAAAAAAAAAGTGCACTTGGCATTTTATTGAAAATGTTTCTTTATTCTTTTTTGGAATACACACAAAAATCAAAAGAGAAAACAGTGATCAACAAGTTATTTCTAATTTTATTATTTCAAGATAGGTCATGAAGGATCAGTCAAATGTAACCCATAAAACAGTCTAAAATCGTATTTAAATTATGCACACGTTTAGAATGCTGTATTTACTTATTTTTTATCCTACTTTAAACCAGTTCTTTTTCATAGTTAATTTATATAATAACTGTTATATTAATTTGTAGAATGTCTATAGAACCTGTGATTCCTCACTTATCCTAAATATTTTTCAGTATTGTCTTAATAAAGTTAATATACTTAAGTGTATCTATATATTTTTTAATTACATTTGGATTTGAAAAGTTGAAGATGAATTAATTCCTGACCTGTGGATCTTGACGAAATGGTAAAGAAAACAGAAAATGTAGCAGTGTAAAAAAGTTTTCCACTCAATATGTGATAGATGTTTATTACCCAAACTTAAACAGTGGACCGTGTATTTATTGGCACCTCTGGCGTATGAAAGATTTTTATTTTTTTTTGCAGAAAATATTGACAATGCAAATTTTAAATTAGTTTTTATTTACTGATATTCAGCAAATAAATTTAATAACTGAAGTAAACCCATCAAATCACCAGTAAATTGATATATATTACCAGATTAGTGAAAAATAATCTAATAAATTAGATTAACTTCAGTTGATTAGATTAACTGATTCTAATCTAATCAAATAACTTAATTCAATTAACTGTTGCTGATAAAACTGAAGTTCTATCTGTTGTATCTAAAGTTAGAATAATGGATAGAAAAAGTACATAAAAAATAATTGGTTTTGCAACTACCAATATATGGAGTTGCATTAAAAATTGGATACAATAAACTAACTAATTTATTAATTCTTTACTATTTATCTCAATTAAATCGTTTAAAAGCTTCTGTGTTCATATGAAATACATATGATGTCACACAAAGGCCCATTAAACAGAACCAATGCTTAAAATGGAAAAGACTAGAGAATATGCCATTCTAGTAACGCACAGGTGTTATAATTCTCACAATTTAGGAATGAGACTAACTACTGTTGGATTATTTGAATGAATCATGTATGTGCTTGTTAAACCCTAATATGAAGGCTTATGTTTATCTAATCAGGACAAGATTTGGAAATGAAATGAGAGCACAGAGTGGATTATTCTTCACATATAGCTCTGTCACTGTGCATTTGGGTTGTCCTTGATCTAACAACACTGTATTATTTTAATATGGCTGGAGCCAATGAAGTCTCCTCCTTTACAAACATATATGATGTAATGATGTGGCAGGCTGTGTGTATATAATGCTTCTTTAACTGCTATTCTGGGCCAACTTTCTGAAGAAGCAACCCCATGGTAACAGCTGATTTCTGTCAAAATCTGTTGTCATGCCTCATAGTTATTTAATACATATACTTTATGAAGTGTTATTTAAAGTTTTTGCTCCGAGTGATCCCTTCTCATGAATTAATCGGGGAGAAAAAGCTTAATAATGTAAATACAGAGCTTTCCTTTACACTATGGACTCCTAATTTCTGAAATCTTTAGCGAAAGTTTTCATAAAAAACAACTAGAAATGTTACAAACAATGTTGGACAAGGGAGATGGTCGGCAAAGAAATTTCTAAAGATCACTACAGCTTAGGGTCACCTGGTATGGAGAGTAACAGGAGCCACAATACATTAAAAGAATAACTTATGAAAAAAGAACTTAAATGTATTACTTATTTGAAAATAAGGAATTTATTTATTAAAAATATAATTAATTCTTTGGTCCTATTTAATTAAAGTCAAGGAGGCAGAACTAAGGCTTCTCCAATAGAAACCCTGATTGGCTGTTTCTCACTGAGCAAGATAGGAAAACTTCTTTTTGGGTATTTTTTATTTACTCTAAAGTGTATATTATCGCTAAAAATAGCAAAATAAGCTTCAAAAATATATTTAAAGCCCATTTAGTGAACGGTAAATGATTAAATAACTTTAGTTCTTAAAATAAAATTTATATATTTATTGAGATTCATATAATTGATTATATATTCAATGAATGAATTCAGTTTTTTCCTATTCTAAATAAATTAATAACACATTTAAATAAATATTTTTTAAGTAATTAGTTTATTATATTATGGCACCAGTCACCCTCCATAACCGCGTCTTAATAACAGTTAATTTAAGAGCGTTTGTTTTTATATATTTTAAAGGTGTACCAATAATTGTGATGGACCCTGTCTGATTTATTTTAAGGTAACTGTTTGTACAATAAGGAACATGTGAATTATTATATTGATAAGAACTATCCTCACACTGTGTTTTCAGCCAGTGCACGAAATGTTCGATGTTCTCAAATATACTTTTCGTTTTTTAAACCATAATGAACTAACTGGACATGATTTTTTGCCTTTCCATTGGCAGCTGAGAGGCGAGCCACTCTGTGGTGCGTTTGCGGGCCTCCTCCCAGCTGTAGCGGGGGACATACCCCAGTTCCTTCTTGGCTTTCTGATAGGAGAAGGTAAAGGTAGTGTTCAACAAGGTGAGCAGCTGCCTGTTCAGCGGCGGCACGATGCGAATGAACGGTCGTAGAATCGTGCAGATTGCCTCTAGGAAATAACACAATATATAAAAGATGCTGAGAGGCAGCCTGAGTTTGTCCTGAATACTGAAGCCGAGCGGCGACATCAAAACGTGGTTGAAGTCTGAATAACTTGTGGGTGGGGTGTCGTCAGAAAGGAAGTAAAAGTTCCCGCCAATGGTGTTCCTTTTTTGTGCATCTTTAAGGCTACGAGCGGCCTGGAGGTGACCGAATGCCACGTTGCCCACGTAGACTGGATTCACGTGGGCCTCTGGTACAGACATGCGTAAGAGAACATTGTTGTTTCGTATCCCGTCGCCCATGTGGTGCAGCAGGAAGCGGCAGCCATCCCCATAGATGTAGGTAGGCCTGAGGGCGCATGTGGAGAGTCGGCCTCCATTTTGCAGCGTCTCGTTGTTAGCCTGAAGGGTTATCTGCTCAGCCTTCCACTTAGTCTTGCTGTAGTTGAACTTGAGAGTTGTGTCATATTTTGTGTCCTCGGTGCCGTTTATTATTGGCTCTCCTCTGGGGTTTGGCCCCATCACTTCCACAGTGCTGGTGTAGATGAAAGAAAGCACGTTCTCTTGGATACAAGCCTCCAAAAGCAGCTGAGTTCCTGCAATAAGAAAAATCATAACTCTATTAAACAACTTTAATTGGAGGGATAAACTCAAAAAGGTACAGTGTGACTCTGTATTCTTCCTCTTTTTACATTTTGTCAGAATTTAATTGAATATTAGATCAAGTCAACCTAAAAAAGCAGCTTTCAAATTATTTATATTTTATTCTTTGTCACAATAAACTTTCCAAGTACGGGTTATTAGGGCCCGAGACTGTTTCTTTTTTTTTTTTATACGAGAATAATATGATCCCCACCACAGTGGGAACCATTATCTACCAATTGGGGAAACACAGCAATTTTTAAACCTTCCCAGAAGTAGCCAGTCTCCCAAATTACACCAAGATAATCTAATCTGGGACGTCAAAAAATAGCAAGTTATGCAAAAACAGTCATAGTGTTTATAGTTAATAATATAACAACAAATATTGAGCAAATATTGTATTTATGAAGAAGTTTTAAGGCCAAATTCACAATCACCAACAACCAAAAAAGAGCATGCTGATTCAACAGGTCTCTTCACAGGCAAGACTTCAGTAAAAAAAAGATTTGGTGGGTCTAATGGAGCCTAGGCAGAAATTCAACTGAAGAAACTCCTTGTTTTTTCATACATCCACCTGCGACACAGCCAATCAGCTTTGAATCACACCTCTACGAAAGCCAATCAGCATCCAAAGCTCATCTTAAAAGGCCTCCGATACGCACCTGTCTGCTCCTGTGCGCAAGCGGTGGATGCGCTGTGACTTTTTTCAGGTGACCCCTTTTCAACCCCCCTCCAGCCCCTCCTTCACCTTCGTAGCTAAAGCTTCATGTGAGTGTGATTCCTCCCGGACTCTTACTGCATTCCCTGTCTCATTTTAACCGGTCTGGGGGAAGACCGCCATGTTGAGCCTGGTTCTGCCAGAGGTTTCTTCCCAACAGGGAGTTTTTCCTCTCCACTGTCGCTTCATGCTTGCTCATCATGGACAGGTTCTCTCAACCTGTGTTATCAAACTGGACTTCCATCTTCCAGGTCCCTGAGTGAAGCTCTAGTATCAGCTCACACAGTCCACTGGATCTCCTCATGAAGCTCAGCAGACCGTGTCTTTAACCAGCAGCCTACAGACTGACCAACTTCATCTATCTCCACTCCGACACCAGTTTCATGCCTGGGGGGAAACAGCCCTATTCTTTGCTCCTGTTCAAGCATATCTATCAAAATTAAGTGCTATGTTTCCTGCCGAGGTCTCAGCGCCAAAGACAAAGCGATTGTATCAATACATTTCTCCTAATTGTCTTTTCTCTTTGTGTGAGTTTTTCAGATTCAATTAGGCAAATATTAAACACTTTAGAAGGAAAACTNTCACACAGTCCACTGGATCTCCCCATAAAGCTCAGAATACCAGCAGTCTACAGACTGACCAACTTCATCTATCTCCACTCCACCACCAGTTTCAGGCCTGGGAGGAAACAGCCCTATTCTTTACTCCTGTTCAAGCATATCTACAGTATCAAAATTAAGCGCTATGTTTCCTGCCGAGGTCTGAGCACCAAAGACAAAGTGATTGTATCAATACATTTCTCCTAATTGTCTTTTCTCTTTGTGTGAGTTTTTCAGATTCAATTAGGCAAATATTAAACACTTTAGAAGGAAAACTAACAAAACAAATCAGTAACTATTGTAAAAACTAAAGTGATCAAATCAAGGGTCAGACTTAGATCCCTGTGACATTAAAGATAGGCCATTATTGCTTCCATGAGTCAAAGTTAAAGAAATTAAGCAAAGAGGAACGGACCACAACTCTCTCCAGTTATTTAGAAATCATGTGACCAGGCACTTCAAACACATGGCAGTCATCACCAAGGGGGACACAACCACAGCCAGGGTAGTTTGGAAATATAGCTTCTTTTAATAATTTAAATACTGCTTTTTAAATCTACTTGGATTATATTTACATTTTTAATTTTTGTAATCATTTGATCAAAAGCAAAATAAAAAACTTTTGGCCAAAAACTGCTTCTCTGCTCTGCCAAACCAATTAAATTTCATTGTATTAAACAGTTTGCAGTAAAGGAAATTACCTTTGACATTGACTCCGTACATCTCGCTGTACGCCACTGATTCGGTAACATCGATAATGGAGGCGATGTGGAACACCATCGATGCGCCACGCAAGGCTTTTCTTAAGAAATCCCCGTCTCTGATGTCCCCCTCGAACACGCTCAGCATCGTCTTGCCTCTGCAGTCTGAAAAATGAAAAAAAAAAAAAGGATCATAAATTCCATAAAAAAATTTTATATTTCTATTTTCATCTTGAAAATCATCTGAAATTCTATTGAGACATATTCCTAAGAATTAACATTATATATATATATATATATATATATATATATATATATATATATATATATATATATATATATATATATATATATAAGCAAAAAATAATCATAGAAAAATTTTAAATCTTTAAAAGACAACCTTAGAGAAAATAAAATACGCTTTGAGAAAAAAAAAGCCCATAAAATAACAAACACACTAAAAGAAAAACTGAAAGATAAACTTTATGAAAAAAATGAAATCTTTTGTAGAAGATAAAAGCATTCAGCATTAAGTATAGCTTGTAAATGAGCCTTGTATGAAATGGGCTGGTCGCCTTTTCACATGTCAGCGGGGATGTTTGTGAGATCTTTTTGTTTTTGTATAAGGATATATTTCTGTGTGTGGGTTTTAGTGGATGTGTCTGCCTAAAACCAGAGTTCAGTCAAGCCTGAATCTCTTTAATACCGCACTGACCTGAATATAGGGCTACCCTGATTATAAGACGACCTCCCCTTTTCATGGCCAGGTTTCAGGGACAAAACAAAAAGAACGAAAAGAAAAAAAAAAGACTGATAAACTAGATTTATTTGGTTTAAAGAAACTACTTTATATCAAGTGCTAGCAATTTCATTTAAAATTATATTGGATTGAAAGATTTATGCAATTAAACATCAGAAAGTTAAAAAAAACCCCCACAAAAATGACACATTTAATTGAAATCTTCACTTCAACTGGAATGCAATCTAAACTTTGCTCACGGAACGTCTAAAAAACCTGGATGAGTGCAACAACAAGATGATGAACCACAAAGCATTTTATTTTTAGAATATGAAAAAAAAGAAAAAAAAAGAAAAGAAAACTGTATAGGTACATTTAAGTAAGTAATTTTAGGAAAAAAAAACTTGTATGAGTAGATGTTCTTTACAGTACTTTAACTTTTATTCTTGTAGAGAGAATATTTAGACTCTTAAGTAAGTTTTCTGATTACATTATGGACCATAAGCACCTCAGCATATCTGGAGAACTGATTAATATACAGTAAAATGTAGATATTGTCACTTGAACTCCTTAAGCCTTTTATAAGATACGTATATTCATTAATTACTCTGAGGACTGGTTTTAAATGTACATGTTAAAAAAATATGTTTTGAAAAGTGTTTCATCTATACATATTTGCTATTTTCTAATAATTTAATAGTATTTTTATTAAACTATTTTACTTTATTATATACTAAGGAATACCAGAATTTGTCCATAAATCTCTCTGGCTACATAAGTGTAAATGTTAAATTAAGGAGGCATTTTCCAATTCTTGAATGATTTATCAGATGTCTATGTTCCACTTTTGCTTTAAAGTAGTCCTTCTCTTACTGGAGAAAACGTTTTGGGTAATCGACTCACCTTGGTTTAAACTTCTTTATGGGGACATAGTCATGTTAATGCCAAAGAGACCAAAATTCAGCTGTTTATAATAAATTAAGGATCTATACTCCATGCTTACAAGGGAGAGTAAAATAAAGCAAATGCAAATAAAAAAGTAAAATAGAATAAATAAATTCTTAAATAAATGCATTCTTAAATAAATACCTAATTAAATTCTTAAATAAAAAAATAAAAAAACTTATGTTTAAATAAATAAATAAAGTAAAATAGAATCCCGGCGCTGGGCTGCTATCCTCCAATGCTCCGGCGCGTTCATAAAATTCCTGGTCACATGGTGTTGCCATAGCAAATATACACAGAAAAGCTATATTTACTAACAAAAAAAAAGCTTAAAAGACAAAATATGAAATACTTGCAAGCAGGGTGCCGTAATGTGTCATAAAAACGCAGATTTGATTATATAACTGACGTATACATTTTTAAAATGTAATATAACTTGACAAAGTAGCTTTTTGTTTCAGTCATCCAGTTAATTAATGGATCAGATATTTTCTGTTTTCTTTGAAGGTAACATGACTTTACTTATTAGCAGGTGAATTAGAACTTTAATGCTAATTCAGTTTAGGAATTACCTGATTTTTGAAAATTAATTACATTTCTGTAACATTTGATACCATTTTTCAGTTAGGGAACTCTGTTTGGTATAAATTGCATTACTGTGGATTAATTAATCCCAGTATTGAGGTGAACTGAAACAGCCATGATGGTGAAGGACATAGATAAAAGCCTAAGGCCATAAACAAAAACAACTGTTATTTATACTGAAGTCTGTGGTCCTGTGGCCTTCTCCTTACGGTACCAACAGTGGTTATCTGCAGAAACATCCCAAGATAAACACATCCAGATCGTATCGCTTCACAGTGACCTTGTAGAAGTACCCACACTATATATTACCACAGTACAGCTTTAGGGGTCAGTAAGTTATTTATGACTGATCCAAAGTAATTTATAGTTTTGAGGTGAAAGAATGAAGAAGATAACGTGAATAAACTTACTATTGTTTAGTAGCTATCAGAGTCCGCATGAGTTACATTTAATCTTTCATAAACTCAACTGTTGTGATAAAGTTGGGAGAAACGTGGAAACATACGAGACAGAAATCTAATTTAAGGTGCAACCTGATCCTCACTGTGAAACATGGTGGTAGAAGAATTATGCTGTGGGAAAACACTATTAACCGAGCACACGAAAGTTGGTGAGGGTCAGAGGTTAATGCAGGACAGTTGTGCTTCAAGGCTTTAGGAGGAAGAAGACCTGAGACTGGATTGGAGAGGGAAACGCTAAACATACAATCAGATGTTTAGGGGAATCAATATTATACTCTTCATGGTTATAATCTGATGCATTAATGTTAAAATCTCTTTCTCTCCTTTGGAGAAGAGGGCTTTCTCTGCTTCGACACATCTCTTAAGAATATCCAGAAGTTTGCTGTTATGTAAAAAAAAAAAAAGGCATAATATAAAAATATATGAGGCATAATATATAATGTATTATATAATATTATATATATTATCTTTGCAAGGATTATATGATGTCAAAATAGTTGACATTTGTCCACTTCTTTTTAAAATAGAAATTGCTCTTTTGAAGGAATTTGCTTTGTTTTAGAAGGCTATGCATGTTTTCCATTTAAGAAATTGTCTGCAAGTCAGGATGGAGATGTGGTTTCATACTTTTTGAGTTAAATGGCATACAAATTTACTAAAAGACAATAAAAACAACATTTTATTGCTTCTGGTTGGCTTTATAAAAATATTATTCATTCCTAGATTTCCAAATGAGCACTAATTATGAGCCTGGTGATACCGTGTCTCTTGCGATCTTGCAGATATAAAAAAAAAAACAAAAAACTTTCATTCTTTATTTGTGAAGGTGCTGGACCATTTTGTTGATCCTTCAAACTTAGTTTTTTTTATTATTTTTTTTTTTTTTACAGGAGATTTATAAAGTTTTTCCTAAATTCTTAAGGGAATATTTGTGATCTTAGTCCAAAAACTGTCCAAAAGCCATTCGATCATGCATATGTGAGCTATCACAACTGTCTATTAACAGTTTATTGAAAGCGTGCCTTGGCAAATAAAAATTTGTAAAATCTGGTTCACTTTTAAGATCATTTTAGAACAGTTTGACTTATTGCACTCCAGCTTCTTGTATTTTCATTTAAAAAAAGTAAAAGGCAAAAGATGTTATCCTGTATCACATTTAATAGTGTGATCATAAATAGCCTATTTAGCAAAGAATATCCTTAAAATTTACTTTTTTCTGTTGAAATGTATTTCTTTTGAATTATTCAGGTAAAACAAAAGATATACTCTGCTAATAATAACTTTTATTAAAATTATTTAGAAAATTCAAAATGTATCATGAGTAAATTATTTTTTTCTGTCTTTTTATATAATAGTTGATGCAAGGGAAACAGTTTTTTTTTTACCCTCCAGACTCT